CGCCCCTCCCGGCGGCCGGGCCTCTCCCCCAAGGCGCCGATCTCCGCCAGGGCTGGGCCGCAGTACCGGCAGAGGAAGCTGCTCAGGAGAGGTCCGGGGTTTCGCCGGCTTTCCTCGCGTCCTGGCGCCGCTACCGGCAAGCTGCATCCGGGCCCGCGCCTCACGGCCCCCTGACAAACTGCCGCCTCCGCCGCAGCGCGCCGGCCCGGCTCTCGGACTGAGGGACAGGTGTCGTGAACTGCGATCGTTACGCACACGACGTGGAGAACCGTATTTATCGTTACAAATGCTTGTCCTGGATTTATTTCCGTGGGCTAAGAACTCATACACCTGCCACTGAAATGAAGCGGGAAAGCTTACTCACCAGGGAGGAGACGGTCTGTCATTTCCAAGGCTGACAGCACACACAGCCCTCCACAGCTGAAATGGAAATGCAGTGACGAGTTCCCCCATGGAAATGGGGAAATGATGACCACAGAATAGCAATCATATGCGGGGGGGGGGGGTAACCTGAACCTTGCATTAGCCTTTAGCATGAGCAATACTGAGAACAAGACACAGTGTAGTTCATACACAATGACATGCTGTAGTTCAAGCTAGTGGTATGTATGGAGAGAATACTGTATCATTTCTTGAAACCAATCACTTTAGCACAAAATTTATCCAAACACAGTGTTCTTTTTATTTTATTGTATATGAATATATCAAACCATTTAGAACTGGCATGAAGGCCACAAAAAATACTGTTAAAATTTTTCACAGATTTTTTTTTTTTAAATGCCATCTTAAGACAGTAATTCCAGCCCGAGATCTGTCAGGAGGGTCAAAGTTACCTATCGTATGAAACCTGTTCTTTATACATGATGTGGAATGGAGTGAGGGGACAGCAAATGAGGACTGAATGCAAAGAAAAGGCAGCAGCGAGTCAGAGAGGGCTTGTTACATTTTTTGTATCTCCACCGAAATGATCCAAAAAACCCCAATAGCTTGGTTCCAGCACTTCGAAAACATCATGTTAGTGCACTTCAAATCACTACTTCATGAGAAACAGACATGAAGCATTAAAGCATCCTATGCATTTTGAGCACGCTCAAAAGACCACCTATTTTAATTTCCAAAAATATTTAATGGCTGGCTAGCCCACAAAATTCAATAAAATCCTCTTTAGTTGCAATATTAATTTAAAATCCAATCTCAAGGTACTTTATTACATGAACATTTTATTACCTAGATTTTACAACCAACTAGAACACATAGATTTGGTTTAGTATTAAAGTAAACAGGGCAACTTATCTCAGTTACTTTATTTCCTTTCTCTATTGCCTGCATTTTCTGATGGTTCAATAAAAAACCATCATTCTGGTTTTTTCTAATATTTCAAGGAAAATTGAACTTTATCTTTGTATTAACGCCATAGGAAGAGCTTGTTCTTGGGCAAAATCATCTCTGAAGTCAGTGGAATACCATTTGGCCTTTAGACTACATGCTAAAAAAAAAAAGGGGTCAAAGAGGGGTAACAAAAAAAAATATGTGAAGACTTCAAAATGCACATGTGAAAGGGGACTGCAAAATGACAGATTAAAGTACATCCAACATCTGTTGCTGTATAGTCAAAACAGATTGTTTCACTTCTCCCCTTTGATCAGTCGTGATCATTTATGCTTCCATTTGCCTTTATATTCTGTTCTTGGTACTTGTGAAGCTGCTCCATGAAGCCAGGATTTGGACAAGCCGCAGGCCTTGCGTTTTTCACCAAGGAAAAGGCCGTAGCAAAACTCAGTCTTTCTGAATTCATTAGAAAACCGATGACTACTGCCGCTGCACGGGAGACTCCTGCATTACAGTGGACCAGTACCACGCCATCCTTCAAGAAACAAATGAAACGTAAGTTGGGATATTCATTAAGTAGATAGCAACAAGTATTAGAAACTTTACATAAAAATCTATTAAGGCTTGTTAAAAGCTCCTTGCTGAGCTCAAAGCAAATATTTACACATATAAGTAACTCCAAACATAGATATATAAGCCCAAACCTAAATATTTTTCTAACCAAAGCCACTTGATAATTATCAAATACTTCAAAGCTCATTCATACCTTAGAACTAAAAACCATTCCTCTGTCCCTTTCCCCAAGACCTTGCAGCAGCCCCGTCATGTAAAAAACAAATCACAGACATCTGGGATACTAAGGGATGTGATCTAATTGGGTGCCAATTTTAAAATAGATTTGCAATATGGAAAAGAACTTGACTGTATCTTGTTACCAGGTTAAAAACATAGCAAGGCAGCAAACAGCTAGGCACAGAGGCAGATTTTAGAACATCTTGTAGTTTCAGTCGCACGCTTCTTGCGTACTCTGGAGTTCTTCAGCGAAGATTCTGGGTAAGCAGGATCATGCATAGGAACAGAAAAATCAGAAAAGATATCGTGTGATTTGCAACAAATCTCTACCTCCCCATCACACCGCTGGTACAACTGCAGTGGCTGGTACAGCTGGTACAACTAAGGTCCCTTAACTGGGGGACTAAGGTGCAAAATCCAAAACTACTGATCCTCCCATAAATTCACAAATGTTTCTCCTGGGGTTTAAATTCAGGCTTATCCTGAACTATCTATAAAATTAATGTTTTTATCCTACTTAAACATTTCCCACACAATCTTTGAGACACCTGAATGACTCTTTAAAAACACACTGCAAGTTTTGTTAAGAAATAATGGGTGTGAGTCAACACAAAGACAACTAGACAATCTAGTGTGGCTTAGGCGACATTTGCAAGGCCCAGGCTTTGTGATGATGTCATGTTTGTATGTCAGACTATGACCTGGAAAAGACTTGGTCCAAACTGTCTGCCAAATGCCGCTTTCACAAAAAAGAAAACCCCAAACCCCTAGCATCTCCATATGCTGAATAAAGGTACTGAAACACGACACAAAGTGCTCAGATACTTGAGGCTAAACAAATATATTCTAGATATAAACAGCCTGCTCTGTCTGCCCTTAACAGGCACAAATTATTCAATGGGCATTTTACCTAGAGGAAAAAAAGACCTTATAACCACCAGGGTTCCTTTCCAGGAACTTGATGGCTTATGTTACAGATGTGGGCGTTGCAATTATCTGGTATATTAATAAACACACAGAGCAGAAAATGGTTCCTGCTCCAGAAATCTTCCCGTTTAAATAATAAGACAAAGAAGTATGAAATTGAGTGTTATTATCCTTGTTGAAGAAATGCCAAGCTGAGACTAGAAGAATGACTTGCTCGAGTTAACACAACAAGATTATGGCAGAGCTAGGAACTGAACCTAAGCTCCTGCATCCCAGCACAATGAACCGCAGTACCACCCTTTTTTGCCATGGAAATCACATCCCCTTTGCATTGTCTGCTGGAAATTGTAATCTTCATTCCCTTCCTCACATTCGCAGGGACATGCTTTCTCATCACACAGCCTGCAGCAGAGTGCAAAGCAGACTTGTACGTGTATTTCAGGTACCTGAGGAAGTGCCAGTGGTCACCTGTAAATCCACTATCTCCTTTATAATAATGACATTGAAATTACGACATTAAAAATTATATTTATGCCCCTGCTAATGAAACAATTGCTGAAGCTTATCCACTGTAGACCTGGAGTAGCTTTTACTGATTTAGTGGGATATATTTCAGAGAGAACATATCATAATCAAGATCAATATCTAGCAGTGGCACCGAGGGCAAAAAATAAGCATTGGAAGTGATCCTTTATTTTTTCCCATTGTACAGTTCATGCTTTATTTTTCTCTTTCACATTTATTTTAAGTGTTTGTTTGTTTGTTTTAATGACTGTTCTGTTGTACATTGCCAAAAATTATATAGTGATATCCACAGAACAGACCTGAAAATTACTGAACATGAATGAACATGGGCAATAACATTAAACCAAATTCAATACTGTGAACATTTTTCTTTCCTTGCTAAACCCCATTGTTTCTTTATACAAAGATGAATTTGGCCTGTAATTCTGAACTAATTTTGTATTAGATATGAATACAGAATAAAAGTGAGAAACAGATTGCAGATACGAAATTAGTCTCTGTTTACCAAGAACTCCTTGCTCTAATCCTGATAGCCTAACCTTCGCCTACCCAGAAATGGTCCATGGTCTTGCAAGAACCTCTTAAGATTCAAGACCAAGTTGGTTTTTTTAAATTTTTATATAGAGGGAAGCAAAATCACCTTCCACCAAGAGAAAAGGTGACTATACAGTGGTTATACACAGTGCGTAAAAAGCCTCACTGAGAAAAGAAATTAAAAAGAAGCATAAAGCTTTTGGGTGAAGAGCCATGGGCTAATGTAGTTCCTTAGGGATCCACTTTGCAGTGGTGCCAGGGCTTTTTCTTTAGGAGGGACAGAGGGAGCAATAAGGAGAGATGTTCATGAATGAGCTAAGATTTCCTCCCTGGAAAGACAAGACTTTAGAGGTTTTATAATTAGATATTAAACAGAAAGATTAAAAAAAAAAATCCCTCATTCATAGCACTATGATCTGACATGGGTCATCTAACATGTCATGGAAAATCTGCCTGCCAATTTGGAGCCTAGAAGAAAAGGTGAGCTCTGATCAGTATCAGAATTTGTACCATGGCGTCTACAGACTTGAGCAGTTACAGTTTTAGAAAAGTCAATCCTGTTACAAGTACCAGCTGGCAGTGACTTACTGAACAGTGCAGGCTTTACTTGCATTCTCAAATTCAAGTGCTCTCATACTACTTCATTAAGTTAACCACTTTCTAGTAATAATTTCTTATATATCATGCTCTCTCACCAGTGAACATCTCTCCCTCCCCCACGGTAGGAGATGAAACAGTAGTATCTCTTTGCAATTACTTAAACAGAAGAGCACTTCATGATACAATTTATCACAAGATGTTTTAACAGTATTTTGACAAAGCAAATAAAGTGATTCAAACCATCCAGAGATCTGTCTCCACATACTACTATCACACACTTCATGAACTGATCCTGGAGAACATTTATTCCATCAATTACCTGCTCTTTTACCCAACTCTCCCATTAAAAAACTATTAATATTGCTGTAGAAGTTTTCAGGAAAACTCCTTAGCTTACAAAATAGTAACTGGAACATAAACACCGGAGGCAGAAAGCAAGACTGCAGTTATGAACGGCAAGTCTCATTTAGAAATGAAGTGGAAACCGTAACTAGAAACCTTGAAAAGCTCATTAGGTGACAACGCATATCACATAGCTCATAAATGATAAATGAGAGAAGGAAAGAACATTGTGTGACACAAAGAAAGCCTGGGCAAGATTATCTTCTTTTATCCCAATCTACGTAAATAATGAATATGGTAGATATGGTGGAATAACATGCAATAAGGTTTGGTTGTCAAGTCGTAGTGTTGAGATCAAAGCAATGGTTGTCATAAATGACACGCTAAGCCTGAATTTAACAAATCGGAGTCAGGGATGGTCTTCGTTACAGACAGGGCTGCCAAGCAACCCCAGAAGGAGTCCCTTCACCCTACTTCCTATGTTATGTCTTTTTCAGGATTTTGTTAGCAGTTAAAATCACTGGTTGGCTCCAAGACTACTAACACGTTCTCTGACAGTCTTGGTACATAGTTGTATGTGAACTCATAGCTCAATGTGTTGCATCTTCAATGGGTGGTCAAGAAAAAGCACAAGGATGGTGGACAGCTGCTGACAAACCACACAGATCTGTAAAAGCCCTGTTAGGCTTCCTCCTAATCCAAAACAACATCCCCGATGAATAAACTAAAGTAAAGTTTCTCCTTTTCCCTCTGTCAGATGTAGCGACTTGTTCATACGATGGGATTTCTTTATCTAAAGTCAGCCACTGGTCCAACTGTATTGAAGAAGCATTTCTCTAAAACATGCAAGACAGTCATTCTGAAAAAACAATACTGGAGGGAATGCAGATTAACAGCAGTGCCCTGTCTCTACGAATGCTTAGAAATTGCTTTGATTCTCGATTTAAAATTTAAAAAGGCAATGGCAAAACTATTCATTTGGTACTATACTTTCTTTTGACAAAAGAAGCTGGTTTAGATTTTAAATAGTGCAATAAATAATCTAAACAGGATAACTACTAACATTAATTAGTGCTATACCATACCTGGATCTTGGCTTTCTCAATAAACTCAAAACATTCTGGGAAATAGGAGGTAATATCAGTTTCTGGGAGGTCCAGAATAGAAATGGTCTTGTATATAAAGTCATTGAGAAAGGCATTTTGGACTCCATATGCCACATTTAGAACGTGAGTAACCTAAGTCAACAAAAAAAAAAAGAAAAAGAGAAAAAGGCATTTTCTGAAGACAGCAAGCAAAATGAGCAGTAGCAAAGGTAAATTATTCTTTAGGCATACATAGACTGTACCTTACACAGCTGCAATGTTCAGTTTTACATACACACAGTGTCTACGGTATGTTTTCTCCAAGCAAAGTTTTAATGCGTGTTAAAATATATATATATATATATATATAAATTTCAGTTTCCTTGGTTTTTTGAGAGGAAAGGAAAAGATCCGTGCTCAACCAAACACCGACTACAGTAAGGATTGTCAACAGAGAAGGGAGCTGTCAGCGCACAGATGGAAAATAAAAGAGAAAGCAATAGGAATGAGAGGACAGACCACTCAACAGTCCCCTAAATTTCAAGCCTGCCCTAACCCATCAGCGTTAAGGAACGTTAAGTTCCTCCTGATGAGTTACCAGCACCATTTACTGGAGCAGAAGGATTTCAGAGTAAACTATACCTGTACTTGGCAGGCGAGACCACCTCTGGCCTCCTGCCATCTTTGCTCTGCTCAGGCTACGGCCAGGTTGTGTGTTCTTTTAACTTACAGTGAAGTGACATTTAGATGGCATCAGATGCCAGACTGGTGCACTCCCTGTCCCGTAGAAGCACCACTGTCCGAAGGCCTTATCACCCCATTACTGTAACAGAGAAGAGTAAAAAGACCAAAGTTCGGGACAGACTTAGAGCTGCTGCTGCTGCTTGTTTTTTCTTGTTTCATCAGCCCCCATAAGGCAAGGAGGCCTGATGCTGCTCAGTGTCTGAAACCGAAACGCATACGGCAATGCGGGAATCTGTTCCAGAAAACAGCTGTAAACAATCATTAGCCTTGCAGCAAAGTATTTCAGCTTCTTGTGAAGCTCAAAGGCTTCCACCCATCTGCAAATGGAGCAGCCTTTTAAACGTGCGAATGTAATATGTTCTTTCTTAAAGTTACTTGAGAATATTTTAGACTTCTTAACTTAAGAAAGAAATCCACTAGCAAGCACTACGCGAGATGCATTTTTATTTCCCTGTCACGTTACCTTATACTTTTTCATCGTCTCCAGGTCGTGAGCAGCATCCTGCGACCCTGAAGAGAAAGGGAGCCGGTTGCCACGCTA